GCGGGCACAAACTCTCGCAAATGTAGAGCCAAATATCCCAAGAAAGTTCTCGATCATCCAAACCAAAGTCCAAGCTTAAATCTGTTATTTTTTCTTGATACCTCCGGACTCGGTGACTTTACCACCATGAGAAAAGCTAAAACCAGGCCTATAATTATCTGCTTTCATCTAGCTGGGTTTTCTCATGAAGACCTCCAAAATGTACTATGAAATCTGTGGAAAAAACAGACCGATGTCGCGTAATATCAAAAAGGATCAACACCTGAGTCCAAGGACCGACGAAATCACCACAAGGAGTCTTGAAAATAGCTGTATTGTGCGGATATCGGGTTACATACGCAGATGAATGCTCCAACAGACTTGGGGATGGATCAACACAAGTTATCTCTGTGTGATTGAGGATCTCACAAATCCACCTTCCTCCGGTCCACCATTTAGTTTATGTGTCCACTGCAAACGGAAAATATTCACTCTAGTTTCGCTCTTATAGAGCTAACTACTGGTGCGCGTTACTAGCCTTGCTGGAGTCCGAACGTGCGAGGTGAGCACACAAACATTGTTCTGCTCGCGTGTGTTGAATGCATGCACAAGTTCGTTCAAATTTACGTGATGCGTGTACTTAGTTTAGTTACTTCAGTGGGAACCTGGGAGGACAATTTTTCTTAATTACGAGCAGACTGGTACGGTCTTCTATTTACAGCCGCATCAGATGATCCAACTATTATTGACCAGTAGATTCGTCTGCACTGCCGGTAAATCCTTCATATAATGCTAATGAACAACGTGACCCACTCCCAATGAGCTGTTGGTAACCTAGACAGTCAAACTAGACCAAGAAGAAAGACGCTCAGAAGTCGGCGGTGTAAGTACAAACCCAGCAGCAGTTCACACACACACACACGTCAATCTCTTTCAAACAGCTCTCCTTCGCTTAATCGTGAATACATCGCCCGTTTTCAGACATGGTACTTCAGGTGCGTCTGACACGGGTGGAGTAGTGGTAATACGCGCACCTAGCTTGTCAGATGTCTGAAGTTGAAGCCTCGTTACGGCCAGGAGGGTACACTGCTGATGAGTTCCAATAAAAGCGAAACTCGAATTCATTGCCTCCCCACTCCGCGGTGTGCACCTTCCAGGACAGGAGAAGGGCTGCTCAAGTGAACGGATGTGAAGTCTTCAAACCCCACAACCACGAACTACTACTAATAGGCAGTCGTTACTTGCCTTTGCTTTCCGAAAGCACTGCTTAATTCCGTGTGGTGGTAATGCGCGTCCAACAGTGCGCGTATAAACTTGACGCCGCCTTCTACTCAGTGATATTGTTCGTGCTAAAACTCTTCGACAACTTTCAGGGTCTGATTTCTAGTAGCTCGATGCTTTTCCGGTACTATAAGGTACACATTTTACGGTAACAGGATGGGAAAAGCCTAGATTTCTCTTTCAAGCTGATGAGACTGTCGGACTGTGTGGCTTAGTGGTTGACAGTCACGAGGCGACTAAAAGGGCCTGCCATTATTAAGCCTAACCAGTGCAAATGGCTGTTCACTGGACTACATTAATGCAAAGTTATAACACAGAACAGAATCTTAAGGTTCAGTTCTTCTCCGAGGCAGAAAACTGACAAGCCATTTACAAAGCAGCTAGCGCGTTGCGCCATACATTACGTCACAAGCCCGTCTACAAAACGGTGAACAAGGACATAAATAAGAACATGGAACTCAGTGCTGTGAGGGTATGTGTAGTGGTGGCAAACGTTAGTAGTGGGAGACTCGTTGAATATGGGTGAAGCCAGACACTTTGACAAACTACTTTATTATGCATACAAACCTCTGAATGTTTCTCGATTATCTATCGAGCGACAGGACTCGCCTACTAGTTACCTGTTAGTTTAATCAATCGTGTAAAATTATTCATAAGCCAAAAGAAAGTTTCGGCTAGTCGGTCATCAGGTTAACCAATATATGGGATAGATAGAATCGACAGACATCGAAGTTTTTGGGTTTGACAAGAATACTAACACACAGCAAACACTGAAATTCGTCAGAGATAAACTGGTAGTAAATAAAACCATGATCCGACAATTCTGAACAATCAACCACAGAATATATTTTACATCTACTGGAATCCACCAGATTGGCGCAGAGAAATGGGCCGTATATTGCCTTGGCTCAGTGTGACAGGCTCGTCTCTTCGAAGCCGCAGTTACCAGGAGAACGACGACTTGCTAACGCAGACAGTATGATACAGGATCTAGCCAAAATTCTTCAGCAGCATTCATTGATATCTACGAAGTTAGTATAGAGCTACCCGGTCAACCGGAATCAGTATGCTTCACAACGCAGAAGCCATCAGAACTATCGGATAAAAGTTTTGCGTTCCAAAGCGTAATTCTAGTTTGCATACAATGGTCTACGCAGCTTGAACATGACCAAGCCGGAAGCAGGACCGGTCAAAGTGTCCATCCAGTGGTTCCCTCAAACAAGACAGAGTCAAGATCGGATGTGTCCCTCTTCAAAAGTTTGAATTCGTCTTCGACTCCAACTTAAGTTGATTTCAAGTGACTCATTTCCCGGGAGGATCTGATGGTGCGCTGACCGGCATGCGGTGTGCTGAATGTTTTGCACTCGAAATTTCCAGCTTAGCGGACAGTTCGTAATGCCGTCAAGAGAACCGTTTACAGGTACTTGAATGATGTAATTCATTGTGACGGACTATTACCGACTGATTGGCCAGCATGGTCAAGATCACACTAAACGATACGGCTGACGGAGCTTATTTGATGTCAGTTAGTGTTGTGACTGAGAGAAGCTGAGAGCGATGCGTTCTGTTCAGAATCGTTCAGGTCATCGTCCAGCTGTAACACCTTATCAGTGTCTAGCTGCCATGCAACCCTAAGGAAGCACGAGGGCTGAGATACTGCCAGGTTGCCCAAGCCTAGACAGGGGAAGTCGAGAGGCAGAGGTCGGGTTCGAACCCCGGACCTTCCGACCAGTAGATTCGCACTTTAACCAATGAGCCATCGCGCCCCCCCCCTCCCAGAATCGTTCGTTTATTTCTAAATCGTCAAGCAAATAGTACCGACACTGACACCCTCGGTGCCAAGAGCGCATAAGTCAGTAGACTCTGAAGGCGCTTTTTAGTGGACGGCTAACGCCGCAAAGAACATTGAGATAGGATTCATCGGGTAAGCGCTGACCATCGCCCACCTCAATTTACCCAAGGTTTACACATAAACTTCGAGTCGTGCGAACCGGCAGCCACCAAGTACGAATCCGTTGTGCATCAAGTTGGGTGGGAATTTACTCAAACTATCATTCCTTTTGAGGCACAAAACTCGATTCTGAACATGGTATAGTACACTTAGTTCTAACGATTCGCTTCTCTTCAGAATCCTGTGATTCGACCGAGGCGTTGATTCGGAGAGCCAAATCTGGCAGTATCGATCTGACAACAGCGCAAACAACTTCGGTGGTCATGACTACTTGAAAGGTGCACCGTAACATGTGAAAAAAATAACTATGCTCAGCCCGCTTCTTCCACAACTGACAGAATATCCGAGTAGTGCTTTTCGGGCTAAAATCTGACCTGGCCGAGGTAACTCTACAGTGAATTTTCCCCTAAACTTGCCACATACAGCGGTGTCAGTCAAGGGTAGCCTCATTACACTAACTCATTTACCAACATCATTACAGAGCGCTTCTCGCCAGGGATTCCTCCGGAGCCGAAGTGGCCATTGGGCGTTCACTTATAAACACTGAGTACACAGACGATAAAAATCTCGGATGACAACTGATGGCGAGGCAGACAATATTCTGCTGGGTACGTGCTTCGGACCCAGAGAGTTAAAATGCAGATAATGGTCTAGACTAACTAGATAACTTAAGCATATATATGAACCTGGGAAGCTGGGTCAGTTTTACATCCTCTCGAATGGAAAAGGCCAGGACGGCTGCTGTCAATCTAACCAGATCGACGGGGAACCAGTCGGTCTGTTAAGGGGAAAGTATAGAAATCTGCGGTCTGTTCCATTATTTCATATGCTGCAGACGCTCGACCGATTCCAGGACGAGAAACCGAGACACTCAGTGTTTGGCCTAATGATTTCGGGATAAGGAACCCATGAACGAGAAACCAGCTCAAGACAATTCGTGGATTGTGCATTCGCAAGACACTTTCGACCTAACGATGTGCAGGGTGGAAACGGTCTAAGAGAGGTCAACCCGTAACCTTATGGCAAAAACGTGGAAGCCAAAGTCATGGGACTCAGTCGAACTGGCAATCGTCATGCACTCATACGAAAACCCGGAGATGTATGGATGGCTGGAGATGCAGAAACACAAGGACGAATCACATACCCACTTGTGCCCATGTATCGGAGTCCATTCCTTTCTTTCCTTCCTACCTTCCCGTTAGCCTTTACCCTCGTCCTAAACACTAGCGTAACTAGAACTACACATTTGCGCTTTGAGCTGTCACGTTCAAACCAAAACCCTCTCCAATTTATCATTCACGGGGTGAACGAAGCCATGACGATGGTTCTGATCACGTGAAACTGTGTTTTAACTGCGGTTGACTAACCGCCCAAAACTGTTGCTAAGGCGCTCCCGCATATGCTTCCCGTTTCACAGCTTTATAGCGCAAATACCAGAACATGCGTCATTCGTCATCTATCCGAAATAATGCAATGGGCAAAAGTGATAGAGTGTTTTCGACCTAGGAACACTGTACAACCTGTACACAGGTGATTGCCCTTGGTGATACTGATGATCCCGGTCCTAGAGAGGTCGTGTTGATGGGGTTGTATACTGTGTGATCCAATTTGTTCCCCAAAGACGGCAACACGAGAGGTTTGAATAAGGAACGCCCCATGGGAAGCTCCGTACTCAAGGAAATAAAGTGCTGACGGTTTGGAAGAGACACCAGGTGGCACACGGCGCGGTGAAAACCTAAAAGGTTTTGAAAGGCCGTTCTACAGACAACGCAAATTTGAGATCAAATAGAAAAAATTGTATCCATCGTGTTGCTTGAAAAAGACAGAACGATCAAACGCAAACGCTGGAAACAGGTCAGCGAATGTGTGGCCATGAAGATCACTGGTCATTGAATAGCCATAGAGAGAGAAATAATAAATCTGGCTGAGTATGCGCGAAAAGGAGGAATGGACGACATGAAAAGACTGTCACAGAAATGCGAGAGATCTGATTGGATAACTGTGGAAGGGAACGAAGATTAAAGAAGACAAAGAATGCAACAGGAGCATGAAGCATGGAAAGCAAGTGGAGAGAAAAATAGCATTGAACAGAGGCGGGCATAAGGCCTAAATAAGCTGGTCGTTGACTGAAAGTTCGATTGGTTCCAATCAAGGTAGACGCAGAAGCAAGCAGACGGCAGTTAACAAGTTTGGTCGACAGGTTTGCGGTCTAAAATGAAAGCGTACAGCTAGGTTATGGTAGCACTGAGGGTGAAAAAGGCCATGGAGAAAAGATAAACACACATCAAAACGTAAAACAGGCAACATGCAATTCATCACAAGACTGTGAATGCAATAGTTTTGTTCGGACAGCGAACGAATCTGTGGATTCATTAAAATTACCAGACTGTCGATCCTCATGGATCTCCAATCTAATAACAAGATGCCTGTGATAATCCGGTGTGAAGTCGTGTTAGACGTGCGCACACGATCGAAACTCTGGAGACATTCACCTTCAGGAAACAAACAACTGAACGAGTAATCAAAATTGCTGGTTACGGATCGGATTCGAAATAAGCGCTCCGAAACTGAACCATGAGTCCTGTCCAAAACGACAGTATAAGGGGGGAATGTGATGGGTGCACGAAAACGGAATCTGCATCTCTAGGTACGACAACGGTGTCCACACTTTTTCTAATGTTAAAATGTCTCAAAATACATCTAACCTCAGGATATCTTGGCTTCGTTACTCAATCACCATAAGATCTCTCTTGAGATTCCTGTAGTGTCAACTTAAGACTTTTATAGAGGCTGAAAAATGCTCGGTACTCTACGGTGAAAGCACAAAGAACCTCAAAAACAGAATGAAAGCACAGGAGTTTCTGAAGGTGGCAAGCGGAAAACGAAAGTGAGACTTCAATGTCCAACAGAATTCATATGTCGCATATTCATCAAAACACCTAATTTCATTTGCGATCTAGAAAACCTGGATAGTAGGATGAGGCTCAGTGAATGAATAACACGGGCCTGAAGCTGTAGCAGGCATATGTTCCTGTAGGAACCGTGCTCCAATACACGTTTACGTCCTATCAGGCGTCAATTAGCGGTTTCAGAAGAAGATCCATGAGAACTAACCAACAACTAGGGTCGTTTGTCCTGTTGTGAGTTCACTAAACAGACGCAGTCCACGTGATTAAACCAATCTTCTAATCTGATATAAACTGTATGCTTACATGTTTTTGAGGTTGATGGGACTACCAGAACGAAAGTAGTGTTCGAATCTGAATAAAATTCAAAAACCATAAATAAAATGAACAAAGTCAGGTGGCATGAACTGAACCTGTGTGGTTGACGGGAGCTTTTCTATTCAGGTGTAAGTATAACACACTGCTGATCAGCCAACAGTGCTTGAATCATGTCCTAGCCGGAGTGCTGTGGAATTCGGACTGCTGCCGATTTCCAAAAACGATAAAACAATGGTACACCGGGCTTTGCCTAACTTGGTAGTGCAGTGCCAAAAATACACAACTGGAACCTCAAAACCTCCTTGCCACTAACAAAGCAAACAGGAAATGTCGAGACCAGTGGTTGAGTGTGACAAAAATAAACTCAGGTAGAGTACGTAGATTTACTTCGAGCAGGAAGCAACAATGTTAGGTTTACAATGAGCTTACAGCCAAACAAAGGGTGGATAAACGGGAGAAGGAGAACGAAACCACTTCCCCATAATTAGCCTATAACACCCAAGCCTGAATGCTTCGTGTTTGCCACATTCAACACAGGGATCAGGAAACGATAGTAATCCCCACTTGAATGATCACACATAGTCGAGTTTTTTGGTGAATTACAGTCGCAAAGACTGAGGGAGTCAACAGATTCAACGCGCACTACCCGAAAAATTGACATGCAAACTGTGTGCGCGTGTGCAAGCGAGTTTCAAAATAAAAAGGCACTATATAACCGCGCAGTGAACTGGAACTGAAGTCGTTGTGTCCCAAAGTAACTGACGAGCGAACACTCGCAGGACGATTTCCGGTCGCTCGACAAGAGTCTGCCGTTTCAGAAGGAAGCAATAAACCTATTCACAGACGCTGTTCCCTTGCATACTCCTGTCAAGTGTGAATGACTCAAGAGCGAAAGGAACCTAGGTAGCCGTCCGTGCTTCGCCCGAACTAGCTGATAGAATCTAAATGAATTCGGTAAATCCTATTCCACCGCGCATTGAGAAAATAACAACATTGTCTGGATCGAACGATAGATCCAAGGGTTTGAAATCAAGTTACCAAGTGGGGTAGTGAACAAGGAGAACGAATATGAAACAATCACAGGGAAAATAGCACAAACGTCCCTCATACCTGAGTAATGCTCATAGGTTGGCAGGGAAATCTGTACATCATAAAATCGGTCCAAAAAAGAGTACCAAATGTCCTACTTCTTACGTTACAATAGTACCGGACTTTAACATCCTTTAGGATGTGGTGTCCAATATGGTGTGTGTCCAATAAGGTGTCCGTTCCTGAGAGAAGTCAGTTCACGAGGTAAATATAATTAAGATAAATTAATACCACAATGGACTCTGAACAGCATACACAGTAATCGTGCCTAAACAGACAAACGAGGATTTTAATACCGAAATCCATTTATGGTGCAAACCGACAGTCTAATGTCGTTCAGAGCAGAGAGTCACTCAAGTCACTGGTATCGTTCCTTATGACTAGGAATCCGTTGAGTCCGTTTCTAAGCTCTGGGTGCAGACAAAATAGCCGGGACAGTATTAGGTCACCAGCAACTTTTATGTGCTTCAGTCACATATGGCCCTTGATTTGCTCTAGTAAATTCGACGAACGACAGGAAAGATAAAGTTGTGTGCTTCTGGACAACAGTGCTTTTGTGAAGATTGCAGATGTATCCTAAAGTAGGGTAATATTGGGAGGTGTTCCTTTTCAGATCAGAGTAAAGCAAAATAGACAGAATTCTATAACGAAAATCGAACAAGCGATCCGGTACGAATGAAACCATTTGTGATAACATGGGAGACACAAATGTTATGCGCGAGTTCGGACGAAAAGAGTGAGGAACTGGATTTTGGTGATGGGTTAGTACAGCTACGTAAGCCCCGATCACGTCGTGACAAATGACGTATATTAGTGAAATACTGAAGCCTGAATGAGTTTTACAAGCTATTTCCATAAACAGGATCCGAAATAAATTCCGTCAAATAAATAGCCATGTACACAAAGCAACCGCGCAAAGTGGCTTTGTAGCATGGAAACAATTATTACGGTGACAGCTGACGCTTATCAGGCAACCGTGGTTCAGACATGTACCATGTAGGCCCAACCACCATCGTCTTCCAGAGAATGCATTGCTGTCCAAAGGTTCGCAGAGAAACAGTTATGACATGGAAACACAAAAGGAAAGCGTATCCAGCCAAGTCGGGTGCTGTTAGATCTTCGCGTCTAAGTGATTCTCCTTAGACGCAAACGAAAACTCAACAGAACATGGTATGCAGTTGGTCTCGTGCTGCCACTTTATAGTCTCCCAAGTGAAGATTGTTGGGCTGCTATTTTGTATGACACGCGAGGGATTCCCGATCATTCCCGTTGACGGTGCCTTACCATATGCTAAGCTCAGATGTGTTTACCTGAATTTGTTGCAAGAAACTTGTTTGAAACTTGGGTTTCAATGTCATCCCTGAGGACACGAGCCCATTTGAACTGACCCCGCGCCCGACTCTTTTCCTTCCATTCTTCACTATGACGTTCAATCACTTTTCACCCTTTTCAACTTCCAGGTGAAGAACCTGATTTTGTCGATTGCCTCATGTATCTCGCCCAAACAAAAGCTTCCGCCATGACATGGTGGTGTGGCTTGAGTGCTGTTTTGAGCCCACTGGACTATGACGGCTGGTCTTTCATTGCATACGGTGCAACCATATCAGGCCGAAGAGGAGTAGTCGGATGAAGCGCAGAGCCATCTTAGTAAGAATGACCGTAATACAAGGCAAAATAAAGACCGCCTGTGTCCTCTACGATGGAAGTGTGAAGGCGACAAGGTGCTTTCCCTAGGTGATAAGCCCATCTACATTTGTGGAAGCAACGATAATGATTTCGCACCAAATGACAGACGAGTTAGAAAAGGTCGGTCGCGAAAACAGTTCGACCGCCCAACGATTGGCAGTAATCGGTGAATAATCCAATACGGCCGAAATACATTTAAAATCTACCAAGAGCTCGATGTGGCTCCGAACGCATCCGCTTTTCACAGTAGCATCAAGTAAGACGTCCATGCTCTGTTGGTTGCGCTCTTGGGATAGGCTAGTCCTCTGCAATCAAATGGGTCAGAATGAATCGTGGGTTCCCGGTATAGCCATACAAGACTCCAGTTAGATCACGCACCTCAAAGCACTTAGAATGAGCCCAAACACCGCACATTTTGCTCTTATGGTAGCTTATGATGGTGATACAATGGTTCATTGCACCTAGGATGTGAGTTGCACTCAGCCTCAGAGCTGAAAGTACTGCATTCGACCAGACCCCAGCAAACAGTCGGCTTTGCACTGTACGGTTATCTAGTTCGATAAACATCGATGCAGTTTGACGTGATAAACATTGTTTACTCGTCGCATCGGCGTACGTCCCAACAGACTGACTGGAAAAGTCGAGCCCCGTTTTGGTCATCGATAGGAACGCATGTAGTCATCCGGATGAGTGATATCAATGCCTAAATTCGACGACTAAGCCCGGACCGTGCTCAGCTAAGCGGCAGATTAGGAATCGTGCTCGGTGCACGAATAATGGAGACTTCTTTAGATGTACGATCAAAATCGTCTACTTCTGGCCAATACGGCCTTTCAGCACAAGTGCTCAGACCGAGTTACTTGGTAGTCACCAAACGCAAATCAGTCATGAACTCAGTTGGATAATGTGGCTGTCAGTTACCGATAAAGAGCGCTAATTAAGGATTTCAGTTCCCTTTTGGGTATCCAACTCCGACTACGCCACTGTGCGGGCTCAGTTATAAGCTTACTTTACCCTCAGGATGATGCATGTCGAACCAGAGCAGTTACGTTTATCAACGTCGACCACTTTCAGATGTGACTTAGCTTAGGTTTTGCCCTGGCCGAGGATGCATCGACCATAGCTTTACCCTGAAACAGGTGGCCGAACAGCATTATTCTTCCAAACGTCTGACGTTGATCGGTCTTCATCGTCTGAACGCTGATTTTGACTATATGGATCGTCAGAAATTTAACAACCAGAGGTTCCTCTTCTGATTTTTTTATCCCTTGTGAGCGGACCGTGTATTAACAGTATTTTCCTTAGCTTAGTTCTCGGCTTGAGCCCCCAAGGCGGTGTTCACGTCAAAACAACCACCAAATGTGAACAACGTATATTAACGCCCAAGACGAAGTCAAGAACACTTGTACAGCCCTTCATACATAGTGTGAGCGGCGACAAATTTCTGGAAATTCTGACTCCCTCGGGACGCACCATTGTCACTGGCACTCGGCCAATACAGGGTCATAGCCGGCTATTGGGTCCAGTCTTTCAACCAATCAAACTCGGATTGATGCCGAACCGGCAAGTGTCCTGAAATTTTGGCCAATCTTCCGCCGAATAGGCAGCCCGGCCGTAGCAGCACCTCACTGCGAGCGGTAAAACGGGATCCGTTTGGAATTCCGCCTGACATCTGTTCTTCAAGTCTGTTGACGTAGCTTTGAAACCGAGGGTTCACTTGCAGTGGCCTCACTGGTTTGCGGATCCTGTTTGTGCACCGCCGCGGTCGTAAACCGTGCTTAGACTAGGCCTCCGACGAAACAGCTGATGGATTTTCCGCGATGGTGTTCAGAAGTATCTCTAGACGGTCCTGTGGGCAGGATATGCGCATCCGTCGGCCGGATTCGGTTTGTGTGCCGTATACGCCTAGCTGGGCCAACTTGAGCGCTTTGCCGCACCGGCGAAGGATAAGTGCTGGAATCCACGTATGGTGTCTGCCGCTGTAGCCACGAACAAACACCGTCCGGCCCTCGCTGAAAGAGCGTGCAGTTGCTCCACGATGCCGGTTGAACTGCTCCTCCATTCTGGTGTTGCGGTGACTAGCCTGTCGGATGGTGTCATGCGGTGTCTGAAACTTCCTTCAGAGCAGTGCATCTGCTGGTGACACTCCATCAGGCGAGTTGGGGTTTGGCGTTGCTCGATATGCCATCAGGAACCTTTCCAAAATCTCACCTGACTGCGAGCGGTAAAGCATGATTCGTGTGAAATTCTGCCTAACAGACCGTGTGCGACCCCCCGCGATACAGTAGGTTCCTGCTTGAGTTTAACACATTCAGTGGGGTACGATATGGCCGCCCGCTCTCGTAACATGGTAACTGGTCACACTCCAAAACAATGGCTAAATGAGTTGCGCAAGAATAATTTGCAAAGCCAAGAAAGGGCGAAAATACGATATAGGGACAGACTTCAGATGAATTCGAGAAACATCAATTTTAGAATTAAGGTCATGAGAAAATCTGGCGCTGAACAAAGCCACATGATGAAATCCCATATATTCATCATCATCATCATCATCATCTCATCATCATCATCATCATCATCATCATCATCATCATCATCATCATCATCATCATCATCATCATCATCATCATCATCATCCACAACATCATCATTGTGACAAAGTCCATGATTCAGTATGTTTCGATAATTGAACTGGACTACAGGCACAGAATGCCTGAATCAACAAACTATGGACCCTGTCGTACCTTCAGTTGAGTGGACGGGCATCACAGCTGACTGTTGCTTGGGTTTTTTCCGAATGGCGTCAAATGCGGCACCGAAAAGTTCATCTTCATCCACCTTTGGATTGGAGGCGTAAAATGCAGATCCAAGAGGTCGTGTGTCGTCGGAGGCACCATGCGACCATGTGACAGGAGTTTTACGACACGCGCTAGGAAAAGAGAGCGAAACGGAATCAGGAGGGGAATCAATATCACAAAGGATATATCAAATATGCAGTCTGGAGAGTCCTTCATAGCGCACAAACGACGCCTTAGAAACTGGATACAATGACGATACAAATCGGGCAGGAGAAATGAGTGATTAGGAAGGATAGGTAAGATATCCTATTGGGATAGACGAACTAGGCTTGACATTCGCCGCTTTGTGATGACAACGGATTGCTTGAGCAACCAAGTTGTCTAAAGGGCAGAAAGTCAACAAAAAAGAGTATCGATCGGAACAGACCAATCTAACTTTGAGCGATTCACCGTGTACACAAAGCGTCTGTAGCTTGATTAACGAAACATGCGCACAACATTTCGAAACAGGAGCGTGAGGCTCATCAGAAGAGGGAGGGCCAGATCCGGGTTGCTCAAAACGTGATGCTCTCCGAAGACAGTTCATCAAAAGTGCAATTTATGGGTGAGGATAGTGAAAATGATTGAGTTACTCAAAATCATATTTATTAAGGCTACACAGGCGCCGAACAGAGCACACAAGCATGAGTTGTGACCTGCATTCAAAAGGTGTGGTAGGAACTCCTCTGAACAACCCAAATTTGAATTGTTCCCAAGTGCGGTAAGTCTGCACCGGTTCTTTGATCGAGCAAGCAATAATGCCGGAGAATCATCAACTTATTCCAGTACAAGGTAGTTACTGTTCAACACACAAAGTAGTGCACATGTGAACACTGTGCAACGAATCGAAGTCAAACAGTAGTCCATTCCAAGGTGTGTTAATTAGCCACACATTAAAGGCTAGTCTAAAAACCATCATATAAATGGTTCTTCAGTAGATGTAAAACAAAGAGGTGAATCGTACCTGTCGTATGGATTTTCCGGGAAAGTCGAGTTGGATGGTCGAAGAGGAGGGCAATATGCCTTGTGACGGTTGAAAGGATACTGAAAGTGGGTAGTAGATGAGCTCGAGGTTGGTAGTGACATTAGACTCTGCACCTGCCGAAGTTGGTTGTTGAGTGGCATCCAGCTACCATCTGATGCGTCAGCTTTACTAGGTCGACAGTGGGGCTGAAAATAATAGGGAGAAATGCCTAAAGATGAGCGATGCCCATTAGGGAAAATAGTCAGGGAACTCACCACAGTCACTCAGGGAAGCTCGTAAAGTCATATTCTGTTATGGTATGATCCCGATTTCCACCAAGATTGATTTTATGTTATATCCAGCGAGTTTTGGTTATCCTGAGAGGCGGCAGCTGGGCACTGCATCTAGTCTCTGTTTGCAGACAACCAGGCTAATTTCACCACATGCCCATGTTTGTATATGGTGGGTGATCAGATCAGCTACTGGTCGACAGGTTCAAACATAAGGGGATTGTTGGAAATACCTATCAAATCAGGGAGGGTCCTGGAAAATTCGGAAGTTCCAAAGATCTGATCCACAGTGCAGAGGGCGATCTTAAGATGTCTTACACATCGGGAAGAATACGCAGTCCCAATCCTACTGGGCTACTTTATCGATCCCAAGTATCTATAGAAAATTTACTTACATCAGCTCACTTGAACTATACGACTCAATGTTCTCCCGAGGGCTAGAGGATCATATCATTACAACAAGCAATTTGGACAGTGTGTGCAACCGTCGACGTTAAAAGTAGTAAGTTGGAATTTCATAATGGTCTTTCGGCACCTAGAGGATGAGAAACCAAACGTATAAATATAACGCGCGAGTGTACTGGTGAAAAACGGAAGACCTGTCTTACAACTTAGAGTATACACTGCCCAAAAGAACGCATATGCTAAGAACCGGTTCATTCAAAATACTACAAGGAAACGCCCTTACTTACAAAAAACTGTATTCCCAGCAAGCAGAAAGAACAGTGCGAACGCTAATGGCATTCAGTACTTAGGAAGGGGGCAATTTGGAGGGTAACCGAAACAGAAGAGAACAGGAGTTGTTCTACAGTAAAAAAACTGTAGAGATAATTATCAAGGATGAAACGAACACACCAGATATAGTTGCGATAATGTCGGGTACCTAAGCGAGCAGAATGGACGCCATTAAGCGGGTACGAAAGTAATCCAACGAGTCATCGACTTACTTTGAGTATAAATATGGCTGATAAGACTATTTAATCGGAATCATCGAGATGGTATCGCAAACGGCCGCGGAAGAATAAAACGATCATGGGTGTTGTTGTGTTTACACCAACCATAAAAATATATGGAAATCATGCATTCTTGCAGTTTCTAATAGTAACTGCAGACACACAATTTTGCTTCCACATGTTTCCAAGGTCTGTAGTGCTTCCCTATTAGGTGCGCCTTAACTTAGGTGCCATTTCGCACCTTCATTGCTCGCAGTTAGGTGCCGCTACGGGCAAGAAGTCTGGTCCGCATTCGAATGGCCAAAATGTCCGGCCGCTCAAGGAAACAGATCAAAGCGAGCTCTGATTGGCCGAAAGTCCGGACACAGCAGCCAATCATGGTCCAGAATACGCCGAGTGCCGTCTTCCAATGACGCATCCAGAAAGCGTGAGAATTTCAAGAACGTTGTCCCGTGTATCCTTCATATACGAGGTGCTGTACACATGTTTTTGATCTGGTTTTGGACTTCAATATAAGTTGCACACTTTTGGTAGTTCTTTTGACGGGTACCCTAGCTTGAAAGGTTCAGACTGAGAACTAAGCTGAGAAAACACCCTTATTACAACTGGCTAACGGAAACCACAATATCCATTGAATTTAATTGAGCCCGGGAATAATTGCAGCAGCAATAATTTCAGCTTGAAGAGGCGCGGCTGAGGCTCATTGAACCAACGATTCGGAAATTGCATCTCAAGACATCAAAAGCCATTACCAGTGAGTTTCGTTTCTCCAGATGGAGTAGCTGCAGTCCCGATCACGGAGTTACCCTAGCTGAAAGGTTCAGACTGAGAACTAAGCTGAGAAAACACCCTTATTACAACTGGCTAACGGAAACCACAATATCCATTGAATTTAATTGAGCCCGGGAATAATTGCAGCAGCAATAATTTCAGCTTGAAGAGGCGCGGCTGAGGCTCATTGAACCAACGATTCGGAAATTGCATCTCAAGACATCAAAAGCCATTACCAGTGAGTTTCGTTTCTCCAGATGGAGTAGCTGCAGTCCCGATCACGGAGTTCAAGTTCAACCTGCTTTCTAGTCACACTTTTGGCTCCTGGTTCAAGCGGTACGAAGACGTGTTCAAAACTGCTTCTTCTTAGTTCGATGACGGATGAAAAGTCGGAATATTGCTGCATAAACTAGCACACCGGAGCACGAACAGTGTACCAATTTCATCCTCCCCGGATTTGCCCCTCGACCTCAGGCTTAGATGAAAGGATCAGAACATTGTCCCACATATTCAGCGATCAAACGCCGCTCTTCAAAATCCGTTACCAATGCCTCCAACTGGTCAAGAAAGATTATGACGATTTCATCACTTTTTCCGGTGTTACAGTGAAGCATCAGTGATGTCATGCTGTCGATGATGAATATGATGATGATGTCAATCGGGAATGCGAGCATTTCAAGCTCAGCCGAATGACAGAACCAGCTCAAATGCTTCAGTTTTGTATGCGGTATCCAGTGGTCCCAAGATGCAGAGGAAGCTGGTCTTTCATCAAACACCAGACAGCTGAAGCTAAAAAGGCTAGTAACAACCTGGACTACGTAAATCCAGTTTTCCTCAACTTCGTTCGTAATACGTTCACTAAGGCTTCGCATTGCATGGTTCAGTTAATTCCCCCAAATTTCTATCAATTTCAGTGTCTGAATGTCTGACGCGTTTAGGGGATGTCACTGACGACATTGATCAACATCAGTATACGGAAGTGAGGCAAAGCCTTTAAACAGATGATTCAGAGGCTCCTCCTTAAGGAGGACATGGCCCTAGTAGTATTAAAAGATAAATAAAGAAAATCGTTCAGCTGTAGCACCCTTTCGGTGCCTAGATGCTAGGTGACAGAGAGGCACGAGGGCTGGGATATTTCCAGGTTGCCCAATCCTAGACAGAGGAAGTCGAGAGGCAGAGGTGGGGTTTGAAACACGGACGTTCTGGTCAATAAATTCGAGTTGTAACCACTGAGCCATTCCGCCTCCCTAGTAGTAATGAATTTTAGTATATCTGCATGCCTTGTATGCCGTTGATTAATGTAGTGAGAGTCAATTAGGCTCAATATCTCTTTCCTGCTAATTGTTTCACAACCACAGTCGTTGAGATTTGTAAGAATGTATAACATACGAGGCTTCAGAAATATTCTGACTGCTGTTGCCGTCAAATTTTACTACGTGCCACTAACAAAATAGCCCTGCAGTTGATGGTTTAATTCTGTCTACCGGCTAGGTATCGATTATTTGGCTAACTTAATGAAACGTTGGAAACCACAGCTATTCACTGAAAACTGAAGTGTCTCGGAATCGATGAATATCATGCTTAAACTGGGGTTGTTCTAAGGGGGAGTATCAACAGCGGGGGTTCAGCTCTGAGCAAAGCCCACTTCCGAGCAATGAAATAAAGTCAAACACATGTCTGCTTTAACCAGTGTTCGTTGCTGAGTGGCAGTCTATGTCTATATAATCTATTAAACCATAGAGTTGTTGCCGTCTACTCAGACATTGTGGGTCATGCACGGATGGCTTGTGAAGACGGAGAAGTAAGCGAGATTTGCAAAAACTGGCTTTCAGTTCATTGTTCCTTTGCACGAGTTATTTTCACTGTAAGAAGTTCAACAGTGAAAAATCGGAGTCACAATCATCTTCTCGTTTGAGGGTTGCGCGGGAAAGACTGAATATGTAAAAAAAAAATACAACCCATTAGTAGAAAAACGCTAACTCTCATTGGGAGGTGACACAAATACGACGTCCCGTTTTAATCATGCACAAGTAGATGAGCTCGACAGAAGATGCCGTTCGGACTTTACTTCGTGTAGTCAGTTGTTTTTAGGAACGACAAGCGATTTCAAAAGACGGCAAGCTACCTTCAAAGACTCGTTCTCATTCGTCCGAAAAAATAGCAAAAACAGCAAACTACAAGAAAAATATCTGTTATCCTTACCGGACTTGCAAAACCTGATTGAACTTCGGCCGTTTCAGTCGATGACTTCACCATTAATTGAGACCCTTCGGTGAATCGAGATACGCAACTAACATCCACACTCCATGTGCGATGGTGACCACGATGAGTATCAAGGTTGGGAGGAACCAGGTTCGTAGGTTGCACCGTGGATGAGTTTCGGGTTGGAAACAGATCGTTGGAAAAATCAGCTTCCCAGGGCTTTCACGAGGTAGAGAAGCAATCGATAGACAGGGTATCCGTTTAATTATAGGATTAAAAACTCAGAGGTTTAAAGGTAGATCAGGTGCCTATAGGTTCATGCCTTAAAAAAGAACACGACACCTCAGGAACAATGAGTCGACAATTGTAACTGAATAGTCAGGACTAATGTGTATGATGGGTGAAACCCAGCGTCTTGTCACAGTTTTTGCTTAAAAGACAAGTCCGCTGACCGGCTTCGGAAAAATTTTACTAGACAGATTTGAAATAAGTCACTCATGACGATAAACAGCGGCCCAAAAGTCGAGTTTCGAATGCTGCGAGTTTATACAACCAACGCGTGGTGAATGACCAACCAACAGTACCTGAAACAGTTTGTGGATGTTGACTGCAAAATTAGATAACCAGGTTAGGTTTGGTAATTTCCAAATGGTCTTCCACCTCTTGCATCGCTCGTATAAAGAATAGAGAAAGGACAGGTTATGAACAGCTCGCATTAGTCATACCATAACGTAGGTCTTCCAAACAGCCGCCCGCGAACAGGATCCTGCCGGCCGTCACTGGGGATTAAGGCAGAAAACATTTCCTTCTCGGGTCAAACAATGCGGAACTGATTGAGCAAAACAAGGTAGAGTGATTTTACACGCACAGCCACTTTATACACATAGATGAGCCTGGTGAGCTACAGTAGCCTATTTGGAATCAAGGATGTACGAAACCATAGCCGAAAAAAGCATCTTCAAGTAAGTACAACCTTTTCACGCTGCAAAGTTCAGTAGCGTCAACTTCGATGCATAACAGCTGGACGACGAAACACTTTTGGTGTGGTAGGACAGGCTGTATGTCAGTTTAAAAATCGTAACCCATCGAAGCTCGGATTTATAAGTATGATACAACACCAAAAGGTGTTCTCTGATAATACTTTTCAATCTCTTGAGTTGTGAAACCCGTCGCGTCTTGTAGTGAAAGTCAACTGAAGCTAGGAGCTCCATCACCCCCGGTTTCAAGCTCTACTTGAACGCATTGGTTCTAGTGTCTGGGTTGCCCGTAGCTCAACGGTTCAGGTCCCGATTCTACGAGCTCCAAAGTAAAACTGATATGCTTTTCCGAAGAAACAATAAAATGAACTGGTCTTTATTCGATATTTCGTCCCACAAGTGAAGTCAATCTATACCAAAAAGCCGAAAAGCAGAGTACAGTGGCTTCATTCTTGTTGGGAACTACTGACAGTCAGCATATGACGAACCTCTAGAGGAATGAGAACCTGTGACCTCCTGATTAGTAGCGGGGGCCTACACCGTTTGACCACGGGCGACAGTGTGATGAGCACGCAGCTGGACAGAATATAGAATTTCAATCATGCGATTCACCTCAGGTGGTCTCCGAGCAGCTTACAGTTTTTGGTAGCATGATGGGATTGGGTAACTTCAATCGCTATTTCATCCGCTTATGGCCGAATAGTATAACACCCAACCACTAAGCGAAAGGTCCCGCATTCGAATCTCACCAGAAATTCGTGAAATGCACATTGCTACTGATTTCAAATGAGGTTGGAGGGGCTATAGTGCTTTTTCAGCACACAATGGTCTGACATACGAGACGCTATCACGATTGAATTTACCGTATCTCCTCACAGTATCAGCAGAGGATTGGACATGGTGAGCGTAAAATAACACCCTTAGTTTGGCAGTACTGAAACATTCTTAGCCTATTTTGCGTCCGATCCGCAGAAATTGAACTTAGAACTGAGTAACGATTTTTTGGAAATTATAGGATGATTTTGAGGGAAAATTGCCTTTGAAAAACAAAGACAATTTCAGAAGCCTGCGTCACCTTCAGTGTGATTAGAAATTTCGGGAGTAAATTACGATGGACTTGAATATTTTTCTCGTTCAAATGCCAAACCTAGTTAGAGGAGTAATTTCACGAGCGGTCTTTGAAATCGGACGAAAAAATGATGACATCCGGTCGGTTTAACATCCTACGGAATTGAATGCTGGAGATTCTGCGATTGAACTGCACGTGGAACTTGTTCGTGTGCAACCGAATCAAATGTTAGGTGAAAATCATGTAAAGATAGAGCTTCATGAAATTTTTTCGAATTTTGCGATGTTGAAATAGCTACCTGATGAAACATTGAGACGACAGACATTCCGCGTGATGGGAACAATTTGCTTGATTTCACAATAAAATCAGGCGACAAAAACACATCTCATAGCTTGGATATGTAGAATAAAGACTCTCCAGAGCGAATGCCGGTAAGACCGATACAATATCGTCGCTCTAAGGTGCAAGGAGGCCGTAGACCTTACAGTGGTGGGGCGGGTAACACTGAAAAATCTATCCAAGCTCATACTATCAAAAATGCGGATCTATCTCTACAGCTGATACAGCGGAATTCGTCCAGCTCAAGCAGTTGCTGTAGAGATTTAGTATGCACGCCAGTACTGATGTCCGGGGAAGCGGTGGTGGCGGTTATGGTGCACGAACACAATGCGGTGGAGAAAGTGCGGAATGCTAAACTAATACAAGTGTCACAGCCGACTGTGCGACTGTGATACGGAACTTCATTTTGCACTTCTATCGGGACCTACTGTGAATCAGGCCAAGCCGATAGTCGAAATTAGTGGAATAATGCGCGAATAAGCCGTATTGGTTAAACATGCACGTTTCAACTCAGCTAAGCTTAAACTGTAATGAATGGGCGAAAAACACTGTCGTAAGGTTTGTGTCGTCTTTATGCAAAATATAAAGCCCTAACCTTAACATGGTGAAAGCATTGCGACTCTCAGCACCCAGTACTATCCCAAGTAGGCACTGTGACCTTGACTTACGACTGTCGGACCAGAGAACAGACACGCTGACTTCATTTCATGTGATAAGCTTGAACAACATCGTAAAATGCTCTCCAACGAACGCTTGACAAAATTAATTCAAAAACTCAGTACATATGTGATATTATGCACATCTGCTTACTGGACATTATTTCCGGATTTCTGGAAGACGGTAACAAACGGCCATCCTCCCATCGGGTCCTCATGGTGTCAAAGACGCCGACTAAGTTGGTTTGAACTCAGTTATGGGGATGCAATTTCTATTTGATCGGTTGCCCTGGTTACGTTTTTGTGTAACTATCACAACCCACAATGTTTAGTGACCCAGATAAACTAAGATTATGTATCTACAGGACAGAATTGTTACCGTGGGGACGTGCTATCTCGGTGACGGGAACCACAAAACTCTGAACAGCGCCCAAAACACCGCCTATGAACTGAATTCTGTGTGTTCTGGGCCTGTTAGAGGCTGAATAAATCCCGTGAAAGTGGGTTGCACGTGACCTTGAGTAAATCCTTTGTTAGCATAAGCAACCACAATGAGGCAAAATTCTGTTGCTATGCGACACAGGTGGGATGACCTACACGTGCGAGTTGACGACACAGTAGGAAAGATCTAAGTCATGGGAACTATCCCTTAAATTCAAAATATCAAAGGTTTTAAGTTAAACCATGGAGTTAATAATTCAGCTGGAAACACCAGTGATCATTTTGTTTGTTCCTCACGTCTAACCTCCATCAAAGTCTTCGAAGACCCCATAATCTGAAAATAAAACCGAGTTTACAGTTGCTGCTTTCAGCCCGATAACAAAGTGGTCAAAAATGCTACAATAAATGATCACAGCCAGCCCTCAGAGAGCGGAAAGTTTGTAACGGAATCCAGTACCTCATGTTCTTCATGCTCCAGAATCGTCGTTTGACAGAGTGGCTTTTGGTAATCGTCCACAAACGGGTCGGGCTGAGCAGAGGAACTACCAAAACTGTCCAAGTTCTGTTGAGGAAGCGTTCGAACGGTTGAGGAGGGTGGTGGTGGTGGTTTTATAGGCGTTACACAATTTTCAGTTGTTACAGATCCCATCTGGACACCCCTTGGCCGTTGTCGTGGTGCGAGGGTGATGCTGTTGATAGAAAAGGGGGTGGCGAGTTGGCTCCCACTTGACAAGACCGAAGACCTGGGAAAGACATAAAACAGATGAGCTAGAGGTCCGGTAAAAACAAACAAAAGTGGCTCGCAAGGAAACTACTCACCGTTTAGCGGGCTCATGTACTAGAGGCTGGGTTCGTAAGGCTTTCAACTGAGATTCGCGCGGAGGCAACGAGAGATCTTGCCAATGGGGGACGGGCAAATTCTAAGGAGTAATGAAGTGTGATCAAAATAGTGACCGTCATGGTGAAATAAGACGCAACAAAACTTTCTCTCAAAAAGGATATCTCCATCCTTACCCGTAAACTTTGCAGTTAATAAAGAAATCATCTCTAATACCATCTGTTGACCCACTGAAATGCTACAGATAAATGTTTATTAATGTTGCAATCACATAGCTATTTGTCAACGTCACCTCAAACGATTACCCAGGGCGCAAAACAACTACAGGACATCATCGTTCCCACACAACCAAGCCACTGTGCAACCAGAAACAGATATTTTTTTTTTCATTCTGGAGCGACGATGGGAATCAGGGCTATAAATTCGAAAATAAATCAGGCGGTGCATAAGATAGATAGCATAACAATAATGCCATGATGACCAATGCCGTGTTGGTAACAAATGTGTGGTACTTCTGAAACAGCTCTGTAAATACAAATTTAGCGGAATGAGAAGCAATCCTGGGATCTCAATATCTGACATGGCTCTACTGAGAAACTGTGAAATTCTTTGGTAGTGTGTAGGCAAATCGAGGAAAAGTAAATAGAATGAGACAGAATAATGGTTTTATTCATGGTCAGTTAACGGGAGGTGGCAGCATGACGAATAAAGGCAACCATTAGGATGGCTCCTCGCCCCAATTCATCAACAAGCCTCAGGAGTTAAATCGTAAAGAACAAAGAAGCAAACAAACCGAGAAAACAATACCTCAGAAGGAAGGGGTGCAAGACAACCCCGGTATATCCACATTACCACTCTGCCAGCTCATTAAACGTGGAGAAAAGGGAAGCATGGCAATTATGAAAAGCATCATACGAGGGAACTAATATATGGACGTTGAGAACTAAACAGAACGTTCGGAGTCTTGTGCTTTGTTTACTTCTTAGGCAGCACGTACTGCCAAATAAACTCTCGTTTCAATGATAATTGTTCCGAACAGGGAATATGGAAAAACAGTACCCAGCTGAAATCAATAATCACCAAAGCAATCGAGGATAATTCTACTGAAAACAGTTTTGAAACTATTCACAACGCGTTGCTATCTTGCTAGTTTCACGAACAAAGTTAGCGTAAGGTTTTTACCTCCGTTTGGATTTCTCTTGCTGTCGGCCTACGCACGGAAGATTAGCAAGCGGCGAGGCCCAATCAGCTTTCCTTTATTACCGTTAGGCTGTAACACCCTATCGGCGCCAAGCTACCAAAGGAAGCTCGATACTGCCACATTGCCCAAGCACAAACATGGGAGATGGAGATCCAGAGGTCGGGTAAGAACCACGAACCTTTCGGTCAGTAAATTTGCCCTCTTTCTACTTCGTTCGAAGAAAAATTATTGTGCTGAAAGGATATACAACCTAATACCAATAAAGCTAACAAATGCTTTTTCCTGTGTAATGACATCTAGGAGGTTCGTAGTAAGTGATTCAATGGCTCTCTCCTGGAGCAGGTGGTTTTTTCTCAGGGTAAGATAAGGGCCAGCAGCGGAGTACTGTCAGGAAGGTCAAATTTCTGGAGATCATCGCAGAATAACCGAAACTTAATGAAATCCTCCAACCCCACTAAAAGCTGATCAAACAGCCTTCAATCAAAGTCATACAGGGTGAGATAGCCTTGGATCAAGGTCAGACAATGTCCCCCCCCCCCGAAATATATAGCGCAAGGCTGTTGTGCTTTCCGCACTCACTAGATTGTGTTCCTTATCGGCATGTCTTTTTTCGGCAATAGGCACCGGAGCAATCAGATATACCAAGCGTAGAACCTAATCTGCAATCCAGGGGTTCCAATTCAGTTCGGTCAGATCGCGCGACTGAACAACCCATACATCAAGGCTCACTGGAGTATACCCGAAGTAACTGGCTAAATATATTTATCTGCAAGTAAAACTGCTGTTAACAGGAAACTCAAGTGAATTTCAGATGAATGAGTAGCGTATTACATCAACAAAATATACATGAAGTAGTTTTTTGGTAATGAAGTGCAATTTCAACCATTGTCTACAGAACTAGCACAATCGTCTCAATGCACCATTCTGTCGCATTGCCTCCATGTTGTCGAGGAATACAGTAATAAGTGCATCGCTACGTTGCAAGACAGAGGTTAGAGTCTGAGTCATACGTGTGCTTACCCATAAGGAAGCATTGGGTTACGATACCCTGTACTATGTCCAGCACCCCTAGAGCGGAAAAACAAACCAAGTCCTTCTGGGGATTTAAATCATTGCACAGCGTTAAAGAATACTAATGAACGAATATGATCTAAAGCTCGGATCACCCCAAATTCGCCTCGGCAATCATTTTGAATTTGAGAATCGCCAAAAGCCATCCCATGAATGATACGAGTGAAAGAAATGAATCCGGAAGTCAAGACAAAGAAAACACAGGAGCAAAAAAACCTAGTTCATTACCAGATTCCCAAATAGACATGAGTCTCTAGAGTGTTCTATGAACGACGTGCCGTACACCAATGCATTCATCAAAAGATGGCATCTATTAAAGAGTATTTTTAGAAGGAATACATCCACCACGAGGGAAAGCATTTGAATAAATCAACGCTCCCGTGGGAATACAGCGATGCGGTAAACCAAACCTGGTTTTCATTTGCTTCCTAAGTATCATGAGAAAAGATAAAAGTGGAATTCCGGGTCTACTATTCCTGGCCTCAATCTGTGTCTCGAATTCTGTTGGGCATTTCTACATATTCCGTATTCCTTTCGTAAAAACAGGACAACAAGGAAACACCATACCGATCCCAGGCAATACTGAGGAAACCTGAAGCCTCGTGTAGGAAAATTTCAGCCTAGAGCTTAAGAGTTGAGTAACTATAAGCTGGGCAGCACCTTGTAAGATAAGAACAAAGCGGAAATTCACGTACGTTGAGATTCTGGGCTGGATTGGGGCGGGCGGTGAGAGAGAAGGCGAGGGCAGATACCTGAAATATATCAGGTCGTTTTGCAGCATCGATCTGCAGCAAATAGCCTGCAATGAAAATGAGAAAATGGGAAGGCCACTGGCAAAATGATATGCACCCAAACACGGTTATCCAAGATATATAAAGCACCATCAATTTCAAGATGAACTACGCTTGTTGAAGAATCGGAAAAACCTGCGTCGAAATCTACCATGCTGGTTTACGTCAAGGTTTGATCGATGCACACCAGGATCCGTATGCCAACCGGCAACATTCAGTAGTATATACGCTGGTCAACTAACAACTGTCCCACCTTTAAAGCCGAAATCCAACACCGAGGAACTCAGTCCCATTGACATCGACTAATAGTGCAATTTCACGGGAAGTTCCGCTCATGCATTTATTCTACAGAGCTCCAAAAAATGAGTATTTTTCCACCATCATAATCAATCTCGCCAAAATGCTCGGTTTGGTGTACTAAAGCCGATATCTGGCTGCACAGTAAGGTCAAATGCTTCACGAGCTGGAAGGTTGCATACCTGAAGAAATGAGTCCTTTGGTGACTATCAGATGCGGACTACTGACCACTGTTAGTAGGCTGTAATAAGTGGAAAACAAAAACAGCCGCAAAAATTGCAAAAAGGCACTCCTACATGCTGTACCAATCATAAACGAGGGAAAATTAATAGCGGATGGTTAATAGGACCCAGACGCGTACACTCAGGCATTAGGAAACCTAATATTACCACTGACTATGAAGAATATACCGGAAGTGGAAATACTGGAACATAACAACGAAGTCGTACGGCAGTGAAGCATCGGCGTCGAACATTGTTGTCATGCTGTCTATAATGATGATGATCCAACCAACCCAACAGCTCGTGTTGGTGGTACATAAGTCAAACAATCCGAGCCGGCGCACCCAGTGACAAAAATAATCCATTCATAGGTCATAGACAAAAATAGTAGGGAGATATCCCTCATAACCAACTAGCTGATAGATCGCGTTGGAATGAGTAGCATGCACACTGTGAGCATGCAGCTGAGAAACAACGAGCTTTTAAGTGACAAACAAACGAAAACTCTACCAATTGTAAACCATGGTAAACCATCAGCGATAGCTTGGAATGCAATCAGAAAGCAGTTTCCTTCCCGCTACTTATCACCATCCTTTTTCAGAAAAGTAAGATTCTAAAATTCATCATGAAGAAATACGCACTATTTCAGTGGGTTGTTTAGAAACGTCCTACATATAAGATCTATGATGGTATAACGGACAGTAATGATGAAATTCTGTGGAACACATAGTCAGTCACTGTTAAATAACGTAATTGGATACTTATTTGTTGCTTTCATGTTCATTTTACCGATAAGAGATTTTATCAAAGTACGACGTTCGTAGATGCGTTAATTTTCCGAGAAGAGGATAGTTTTATAACGAGAATTACACTGAGCCAGGTTTCTAGGTCAGGCAGGACTGTGGATTTTAAACAAACTAGGTATAAACAGGAATAACTTGGTGAAGAGAAGGCAAATCTGTTGTGAAAAATCAGCAAAAGACCCGGGATTCTTGATCAACAACTGCATAGCTAAATAGCCTGAATTCCAATCCTAAGCAAAGCAGCTGCTTCCACTCAACTGACCCGAGCGAAGGTGAGTAGACGTAACATAGCATGAAGCAAAGAAAATTATTTTAGGCGCCAGTTGTGAAATTCTCATGCTGACTTTTCCGGAAAACCACCTTGACTGCTGATGAATAGCTTAAGTACTTTAGTTGACTAGAAAGTGAACTTCGCGGGGAATCGTTAGGCCGGATACAGGAAAGTTCAACACGCGGGTGTTTCCGTCCGTATTGAGACCCATTCGGTGGTTATTAAGAGATCGGACAGGTGACCCTTCGGTTAGCAGCTCTAGGTTGCTTCCTGTAGAACCATTCACCTGACAATCAGTTTGCGAAGCGCATAAATTCCTAATAGGTGTGAATTTTTGTTTTATTTAGCTGTAGGCTCATAGTAAGCGAGTAGTGATTTCGAGGGGTTGTTGACCTGCTTTCAAGCTGTGTGAACGACGATTTCGTGATTCAACCATATGTATGAAAACATTTGGTCAAACGTACGTTCATTCCTTGGTAACTATCAGGTTCTATGCGCGGACCTACTACTATTCCATTAGCTACACTAAATGTCAACCAGTACCGCATATCATTAAAGCATGGATACAACCGCCTTCTAAATGGTATATTTCCGGTACGTCCGTGGTGCTCGATTAGATTAGTGACTACACGCTCACCTTACATGTCAGACGTCCGCATAGCCAAAGATAAACACAGTTGATGAGCTCTGATAAGTACGAAGCTGGAGACGTCGAGAATACAGGAGAGGCGTTCAAACGACAGTGATGTTAGGACCACTATTACGAGGTCCAAACCGACTATAACAGAAGTTCAACATTTGTGTAAACTGGTAGACGGACACACGGTCCTGTCTCGGTCTGCCGTCTCCCAGACACTTTCCTGACGTAAAAAAATGTTTGACGCCTTTCTGCAACCCGTCAGTTCTTTGCTTTCCACGAAACTCGACCTAACCTCATACCTAATTTCTTGGTCCTTATGAGTAATTAATCACGCGTATCGCCAAATCACGCGTTTGTGCGCCTGTGCACCTAAGTGCCGATTTTCCACCCTCATCAGTGACAGCATACCTTACGAGCCCAAACTCGTGAATTCTAGCGGAAGAGGAAATTTATGGAGGAGATCCGAATATATTTGTTAGTTCAGAAGAATGAAGGCTATTACAAAATTCGCAAAAGCGATGACAAGCAATGTCTCTCAGTGTGCGCGCTGTCAGACCACGGATAATGAATGTTGAGTAAAATACATCAGTTCTTGAACACATCGCTCGATATGCAGCTACCACTATGGCCTTGTTGACTCGACGAAAACGTCCTAAAACTCGCGCTGTCCTTTCGGAAAAGTTTGGGAACAATCGGTGGATTTATTGCTGGACAACGTTTCGCCTTTGACACAGAAGCTTCATCGAGCCAAGTGACTAGGTTACGAGGTTCGCCGAGATTTAAGGTAAAAGGAGAACCAATTAACTAAGTTAAACCTGTGTTACGTGTCGACCAAGGAACTTTGTGTGTTAGGGTGGGTCACCAAGTTTTAAGCCGATAGGGAAACCTACATGGATTTGAGTCCAGCCTAGGGTCTGGTTCTTCTGATTCGGCTTACGTGATGAATGCTCTTGAACGTCGTTTGCACTTTTCGCCCGTCTGTGTGGATGAGCTAGTACTACGATAGTTGTGTGAAGAAGAAAGATTCTGTGAACTTTGGTCGGGTTGTGATTTCTGTCCCGTGTTTTATGCTCACTCACAGAATCCCTCCGGCACTAGGAAACAAATGACTTGACAGATGGAAATGAATGGGCTTACAAAAACGTCTATGCAATTTTAGCGCGATCTGACAACTCTCATGTAGAAGCAAAGGTTTATGTTGTCTTCACTGAGTCCGAACGAAGATACTTTGAACCGATGTTCATGATGTTTTTAATGCTAGTTCCTCTCCCGACTAATTGAATGAACGATTGAAGATGTATCCCTAGAATTCTTGAGGAAGCCTAACACTAGATCCTTTGCCTGTTTTATCCCCATTTTGAGTATATGCTTTCTTCTGAATCGTGTGGCCGTCACACCCAGTTGCCATCCTGGTCGAAGGAAGCACGAGAGCTGAGATATTGCTGGATTGTTCAAGCTTAGACAGGGGCAATCGAGATGCCGAGGTTGGGCCAGTAGTTTCATGCCTTAGCCACTGAGCTCTCTCAAGTTCATTTGAATAAGTCAGGTTATATAGACTGACATTATTTTCACATTAGCAAACCCTAATCGGTAATTCGACTGATCTTCATAATGTAGCACCACAAACCGGGCAATGGTCTACGTTTTCGGAATGGTATAAAAAATTGCGACAGTCAGTTAGTGCGGAGAAACGATACGTACCAATCAAACGATGTAACCGCTCTGAATAGGGCGATGTATCCGGTATACTGTAGATCCCCGACTGAATGGCCAAAGCACTATCGCCAAACGGGAGCGCGGTGAAACAAAGGCAGTACAAGAGACAACCGAGAGCCCAGATATCAATCTGTGGTCCAAGCGGAACATTGCTGTACAAGTTGATCATCTCTGGAGCACGATAGGCAAGTGTAGTGTATCTGGAGTGGAAACGAATGCGTTTACCAGTGCAGTAGGATGCTCAGTTATGGTTGCCTTGGAGAATGAGCACGAATAAATTCAACAGAATAAGCCGAAGAATAGAAGCTGTTGCAACAATGTTTGCCGGAAGACTGAAGAACTTATTTTATCGCGTCTGATGGTCTAAGTAGTTGAGAAGGAACTTCAGGGAAGAAGACAAAGGAGACCGGATGAAGACCGGCTCTACTGCAGTTGAACCGATGGAAGAGCGCTGCGGATCAGTTGGCTACAACAGACAGAAAGTGAAATCTTAATGAAACATTACAAAAGATTGTTCGTTGAGACCTGACCGTCCTAACACCTTTTCCAAAATGTGTGTACGTCTTCGGATATGGATTCACCTGCACTGGTGTAAATGGCTTTGGGCTACTGCTGGACCGCCGTCGTGGCGTGCATATGGATTCGACTGGGGGTTTGTCTGTTTGCACAGGGGCATATATGTGGATGCTAACTTAAAAGTACCCAACAATTTATCCGGAGGAAGTGAGCTATCTGATGTAGTCAGTACAGTGTATCCAGGGAGAAGCTGATTCGCGTGACGGACCCATATAGCCGACTGTACGTTGACTTTGTACATGACGTTCCGAGGAGTTCATTTCTCTCCGACGCTGCGATAGTCCCTAACCAAAACCGAGATATTTTTGGGCTTCAGTGGCTATATAACCAAAAACGCCAAATTGAACACATGCACAGTGAGTCGTGCACCATGCATGACATAAGCTAACTAGTGAATACAAAGCATATCTAGCCAGAGTAAGGGCTTTGTTTTCATGCAACAAACTACTGAAGGCAACTTCAGACTGGCAAACTGGAAAATGCGGGACTTCATTTCAATAATATGGAAAAGGGGAGCTTGATATAAAGAAGGTAAGAAGCAGCGTCTGAAATAACAAATCACAAAGACCGAATAAATAAGACAGTGTTTCGTAACATGGAAAACCTATATTCGAGGCCTTATGGGTGCCGTTTGTTTGGCCACTGATCCTCGGTTTATCCAACGCCGTAAAAAACAAGTGATAGAAATATGAGAATGAACTCAAATACTCAAAACGTAACCAACAACAACCATTTACTTGTTGATTTCCTCTTGACAGCGTTCTAGTCCATGCACCGCCGGATGAAGGACTCGAGAAGTTGCACTGCCGAAGTCACAGAGGACGAAGTTTTGGCGTTCATCTATCAGGATGTTTTCAACCTGCAGATCGGGGATCAAAGACAAACACAATCATACACTGTTCGGAACTAATTAGTATCACGGTATGAGCATGTCGTATTCAAAACAGCTTTTCCGGTAACTGATCATTCGTGTGATTATGGAGACCCTTCGCAACAAATTCTAAGCAAAGAATAACTGGAATGCAATGTCTGCCAGACTCATATGTCCTATATCATCCACATTTTTGCATAAAAATACGCTTTTAAGAAACATGGATTTATGGACCCTAATTTTGCTGACAGAAACAATATAAAAAGTTTATTATTTATGGTACCAGTTGCTGGTGGTAGATGTTTTATTGGAAATTTATTTTCCTCGAGGCGATAACATGTCAACGTCAACGACATGAATTTGGTTTGTGTGAACTACCTGTGAACCAGGAAAACCTAAAAGCCACAAGCTGTAATGGCTGACCCTATGAAGAAACGCTACGCAGCAGTCCCTCCCTTCCTTGTTACCTTGCTAGCGTGAATGGCTAATGCTTAAGCAGAAGGGCTTCAACAAAATCAAATCCGGTTTTTAATTATCATGCGAACGGCCGAACACTTTCGACAGATACACTCACTTGCGAATCAATTTGTTTTGCACGGGAGACTCATGTGAATCTCTCGTTTATGATGCTCTTCAACTGAATGTGTTGCACCTTGTTTAATACTGGTCATGTCTCGCATCCTAACCGCTTAATGAGCTTGTCATGAAAATCAGATTCCACAACAGGACACGGACGTCACATGTGACATCGCTTATGACTGAAGAACGTCGAGATCTTGAATCTCGGTCCTACTGAATCAAACTGGAAAGTGCATATGCTATGTTGGATGAGAACAAGAACAAGAAACTTGTCCAAACCACGACTGAATCTCTTATTTAAAACAACTAGCATGCGAACGGAGGGGTGAGTGAACTTTAGTTGTTTGGGCTACCGATGAGGCGGTTAGGAGAGTTAGGGAAGAAATACACGAGTCACCATATGAAGCAGTCACAAAGTTGCAATCAGCCATTACACACAGTCAGTCAGTGGTCTAAAGCCTTCACACATCCTGGAAACATCACAAACGAGAGATTCAGCTGGGTTCCAGGTGAACACAAACCCAACGACCATAGGCTAGCTGTTATCCAATCGAAAAGAATAAGGTATCGCTTGATTAATTATCCTACATATAATACTGTCACAATGAAGCTCGGGAGGGTTGTGAATGTGATTCGTCTCTTTGAGTCTTTTTAAGCCACAGACTGACAAAGGATGCCTCTCAGATGGGCGGGTGTCGCAGAACTATCAGAAGTCATAATATTTGAACAGGTTAAAAAAAACTGCGTGGACATTGAGTAGGCATGAAAAGCAAACCTAATGAGTGGCTTTCCGGAAGGTGGCGTCAACCCAGTGAAAAGGAGTTATTGAACCATCATCACCACTGACAGCAATAAACCAGTTATACATACTAGCGCTTAATTGTAATACGACTATGAGGAAAGGTTCGGTACAGAGTGGGAAGAAAAGGAAAGGATAGCGACTTCGTGCGAATATATCCGTCTGAGCACCATGTCAGTGAAAGGCGCCAGCAGCGGGAGTGACCCGATAACTTCGCGAATCTCAAAAACATGCAACCTTTGGTTAGACAGACCAGCTGAGAAATGACAGTATGCGCGCCCCTGGGATCGGTCGCCTGACATGCCCTGCAGAGTTTTCAGGCATGTTGGAAAATGATCGAATGGGTTCTTGTTCGAATATCCCACAGCATTCAATCTGACGGTAACCCTTTTCAGTTCACGCTGTCATAACATGATTTATCCCCGCGAACCTTCAGAAGACAATGGCTTGGGACGGAAAGCAACTCCTACGTTGGTAGACAGCAAGTGGGTACGTGCCGCACATGACCCAGGCACCCTAACTTGATGAGTTCTATTTGCTGCTCTAATGATTTAGATTCGTTACCCATTGCCCGATCATGCATATCTTCGTTGCGTAATGCTGCAATCAGTGGACTCCACGGAGACACCAATGATCCAATATTTGACGATAGTTAGGTTTCTTGGATCGTTTCTGACGTCAGAAATTGTCGACTAACTTTCAGCAGCAGATGTACGCCCGGTTTTTAGGAAGAAAGCATACATACTGAATGAGCAGGTAGTCATTCTCTGGGGGTAATCTTTATGGCGGCGCTCCCACCAGCTTCACTACATAATTTGCTATGGGAAATAATTTCCAAGAGAGGGGTGTTGTGGCCTGAAGATCTCGTAGACATGACGCTTGTGGTGGTTTCCAGCATCAGGTAGCCAGATACTGTCATATTCCGCGGATGCCATAGACGTGCAAGTACCAGAAACAACTGGGTCCAGCAGCACAGAGTGTTGGACCAGCCAGTGCCAATATTCGAGAAAACTCATTGAAAATCAGTATCAATAAGAGAAAATACAGAGAAACAGCTTACAAGATGACTTGTAAATGGATATACAGGCGTACATAAACCTCAATAATAGTGATCCAGCCCGCCACAGTGCACATCGGTCAGGCACCAACAAACACATATCACCTACATTCCGTTTTAGATTTACTGTCAGGCTTGGTGCGACTCACTCAGGGCGTTTTGTGAGAAAATTATGTGAAGAATGTATAACCTACGAGTTCATTTCAGTCATTGTTTAAAAGAACTTTGAGTCAGACGGTACTAACCACAGTCGATCGCTGAACGATATCTCGCAAGCAGTGCACCTCGGAGTTACACAAGAACGAGAGTGACCCGTAATGAGGTCAATCATCCACCAAAACTACAGGTTTCATTTGTGATCGATTAGAGCCTGGTCAAACTTATTGTGCGCCTATCCCTGTGCAGTCAACTGCGTGGCCTGGTGATTGCAGCAGTAAAGCCTGGTTTGCAAACAGCCACATGCATCACTTAAAGACGCAGTGACATCTCGGTTATCCTGGAACCTCTGTGCTCAGGTTGGCTGACCATAAGAGCTGTGGAATTAGTCCACCATCTTGGGAATAGAAACACGGAATAAAAGGTGATTTGAGAAGACTACGCACATCCGGATATGATCTCAACAGAAGCTATGCTTCGCCACGATAATGTACGACGGCTTTGGATTTTGGACCCAAACTTCTTTCCATATTGAAATTTCCCAGTTAATGGCACACCACTTACTGACTGAAAAATTAGACCCAAAGAAGCGAAATCACCAACCTTCAACTATACAGCACGGATTCCCTTGATTTTCTCGAAACCCATTTATGATGGATCATTATGTAAAAGTTACGCAATAGATTTTACCTATTGAGAATTGTGGTTTCCTGTGTAACTTGGTGGCATGGAGGCAAATGCGTGGTATCATTTGGCAAGACCTTACTGTGGCACTACTTGGAAATAGCAACGCAGCGTTTTGACTCTATTCACCACAAAACTGTACACAATCTGCCGCAAGCTGCTATACAGCCCGTAGGAGATATGAGAGCTAAGAAACTGTTATGTTTACATAGTCCATGTAAGAGGGCACATATAAACAGGACAAATATTTTTGCAAAATAACGCCTACCTGATGAGCCCCAAAAAGGGCGAAACCGGTCGTGGGCTGTCGACGGATTTTCAGCAACCTTATGAGTAGTACATTACAAAGACTTCATTCTTCTTATTTCTAGCTCATCTGCAGCTAGACGTATATGGTTTGTAAGGGAGGAATTCACTTTCACTCAATCAGAAGTCAGTCTGATGCAAAAAAACTAAGGTAGCTACATGAGCTAGTGGATGTGTACTTGAGGAGAATGTGGACTCCGTAACGTGGTACACGAGTAACTTTTCACAACGTCCAGCTACCAGGAAACTAAATGTGAGAAACCCGGCCATGCAATTTTGTAACTGGCATGGTGGTAGGTCATACAGCAGGAAGATCGAAAAACAATGAAAATGGTGCGGTTTAGCAACTACCGATCCATGCACAGCTAGTTAGTATGCATCCGAACGCCGGTGCTCTGTATACGGCAAGCAACAAACGGTGAGTGCATCTTCATTATTGCAGAACAGTGCATGTTGTAACGTTGGCAACACAAGCTTGCATACATTAACGAACCAATTCAGTACCCTACAAAATCCCATGTAACTTACGTAACTACATCGATCAACGACCGCTAGTTAATCCACTAAGCGAATTTGGACAGTGACATGTGGTACGCGTTGCAGTAAGAGCTGACATGAAACCGAAAGACAGGTGACTAAAAGAAACAGACTAAACCAGCAAAAACGGCAGGAAGAGCACGTGGATCATGTTTACCTGCGCATGACGAAACCCGTGGGCATTTATCTTTCATCGATGCGACTCGCACGAAATGGTATTTATTCTATGTGGCCTATGTCACCTTTCAAGCCGAATGGATAAAACAGGGGATATGATAGCTCGTCGCTACCACATTTATGGAGTTCGGTTTTAAGCCGTGTCCGTGCCGTAGGTTGGTTCTAGCTGCCACCAATTCGTTCGGCGACGACTTTTAATAGTTATGCATCGAAAGTAGGTTTAGCTGGAGAGATTAAACCTACGCCACACGACAGACATCAGCAAACTTACCTAGGTTTCTAGTTAGCCGCATAGTAAGATGACTGCGCTAAATAAAGAGGCTAGGGTAACTGCAGCTCGGTCGGATTTCAAAGGTATCAGTGCTAACCAAGAATTCAATAATTCAATTTAATTCAGTTTGGATCAAACAGGATTGTACACAGAATCCACTTGTATTAAGTACTTCGAAATCTCACTGCCCCAAGATTGCACCACCGCTAAATACCCCGCTTCAAGCAGAGCGCAGTTAGAGCTAGATAGTAAACTGAGCAGAAACAGTAAAGCTTTCTTTCAAACCTTGCTTTGAGATTCCAGAAGAATGTGCACAATCAACAAACGCGGTTCCGGTTCACTTTGGCTGAACAAAAGCAAGCTTATCGCTTATCATAAACGAGAGATTCAATTGAGTCTCCCGTGAAAACCAATTGATTTGCTAATTAGTGTATTTCTCGAGAACAGTGCAATTTGGGTTCAAGTAGATCATAAGGTTGACGGAAACTCGGGGACTGCGCCTACCTGATGAGCCCCAAGAAGGGCGAGACCTGTTGTGGGCTTTCGAAGAGTTTTCAGCAACCTTGTGAGTAGTTTCCTTTATCAAGCTTATCGCAGTTATCAAGCAGGGGCTGCTCAACAGGACCAGTTATGTAGCTCAGTAGTCGTTTTTTTTCCTAGTCAAAAAGCGACTATTCCAAGGCGTGCTGCAGGCGAACGCCCTTCGATTCCGTCTAATCACGGAACTAGTGATTCATCACAAGCACATTTGTTTACAGACCGCTTTTGTCCCAACCTGTAAGATTCCACATTTTGTCACTTCAACACATTCAGTTACAGTGCAGTGAAAACCAAGTGATACCCAAAGTGATGCGTCGTTTACGCACATGTCATCATTCCTTTTCCTATAAATATATAGTTGAAATTGGGGGAGAATATCTAAAAGGGTTCAAATCCAGCAAACCCAGTCAGCGCCCATAAATCCGGTTTTACAAACAAGGAACCCAAGAGATCGGAGCAGATCAGAAATTATGGAGGATGACAAGCAACTCATGAAAGTTGGAGCCAACGTTTCCACGATGTTCAAAGGATTTGAGTTGAAACAGAATGGCACATACGAAGTTGTCAAGATAAGAACGTTGCTCGAGGACGCCCGTGTGGCACTGACTGACCATCGTACACTGTTTGTTGTCACATTGCACACCGACTTCCACAGTTGCAAACAAAACCTCGTGGGCATAACATTACACACTACACTGTTGCAGATCGATAATCCCTTCTTTGACATAAGTCAACTCTGCAGGATCCTGTAAGATTGACGGGAATGTCATATCCTCCTCGGTTTTTATATTCTGGCCTATCTGGGTACATGCCTGGACCGGTTTCTTTAAGTAAGCAATTTTGGGAGGGAGCACAGGTGAGTCGTTTGACATATAGGTGAAAATAATGGGTAGCTCCCTGTACGGAGGTCAGCCGTCCCTAATAACCGAACAACCACATCGTTTGGACGGATGTGTCACGTGCGGGACACGGGCCAAACGAAGGCATGTCCTGATTGGTCAGAATGCCAGCCAATCGAGTCAAGCACCTTTGACTCGACGCTTTTCGTCCTCTCACGGAGATTCTGGCACGACCTTGTGGAACACTGTGACTACCCCATAAATACAGTTGTAATAATTTCCCGTTGTCTCCATAAAGGGCTGTGTAGAGCTACCGTGTCTTTTGATATACCATAGTGGGCGGAGCAGGAAGCCAAGGGACCGACACAGAGTTGCACTACCGTTCAGCAAGACACAACACTCCCACACGAGGACACGGCAGAAGCCCTATGACATGGTGGGTATCCTTTCCGTAACTTGATGCACTGTTCCACATTTTGAAAAAGAACATCCATGTTCTGTGAAGGTTATCCTGAGATAGATAGGATGAACGTTCACACAAGACTGCTTTTTGAATGGATCTTGTCCCGATAACCTAAACCGTTAGTAGACAACAGCACTTGGTAATGTGGTGAAATATTGGTAGCTCGGGTGAGTTTATTGGTTGTTGATCAGATGGCTGTTGATCTGTTCGCCGAGCTTGGCAATTGGCTTGCAAACGTTTCGTCACCATACGAGGAGACATCACCAGTGCGCAGTTGGGTCGGTACTTCTTCCTTGCCTGCGTGTGTTTATATAGCAGTCAAAGGTTATCTGCAATGTCCAAGAGCCCTCAAAAGTCTCAAAGTATTGTACATATGGACATAAACAACGCGACTTACTTTCAAATCCCTGTGGATGATTGGTGTTTTACAGTGATGCAGCCGGCAGACAGCTTCGCAGAGATCACAGAATATCCGTAACACTTCCACTTCCGTTAGCCGTTGCTGGTGTTGCTGTCGTTCGCTCAGCAGGTGTGACAGACTACCTGAATTGAGTAGTGAGAGAAAAACATACACTTCACAAGGTGCCAAATGGAAAAAAATGAAGAGTGATACCGGAAGAGAAGGGAGCGCTCGGTATACATACGGTTTCAGTATCCCCTAACTAATTATGCGCAGTTCAAAGTGATTCAGCTTCATTTCATGTCCATGGAAGCACAGATGCTCAGGGTATAAAGGATCAAAGTTCAGTTTCCGGATCTTTTCAGTGCACAACGTTCGACGACTGCGATACTGCCAGGATGCCCGAAGTTACATTCTGGCAAAAAACATAGGTTCTACGGTGATGGGTGAATGGAACACTCGATTGCAAAGCACACTAAATGAGTACTAAAAAAGACCAATTAAATAAAGTCAGCTCTGAAGAGAAAATAAGTCCCAAAGACAGGTGTTTTCAATATCGATCGTAGTGTTGATTATTGTGCGGTTGTCTCCTAACAGCCGGTAGGACCGATTTCAATGAATGGCGAGCGCCAAACGCACCTGCACAGAGAACAAATCAGTGAAATGTTCGGTTCCTCCGTAACAATGAGCATCGGTGTTGAGTGAATATCTACTAGTTAAATCTGTAGGAGTGGTGATAGGATAGCTTGACCACTCCAAATGCATCAATTACGACATTTACACTGGTATGCTCAGGAGAAACTTGATGCTGAACCACGAAACATGAAAAGGACGTCCATCCAATCTGAACGATACGCGTCGCAGATTGCGCTTTCTGTTGACTTCTGACGAAAACACGTTAGTTGCCAAAGCATGCTTCTACTTCTTATGAAAGAGACGAAATACGTCATGTGTACGTGGGAGCGTACCCGAAGTGTTTCTGTCCCCGACGCAAAACTTCCGCGTAAACACATGCGGGAAGGCCACATTGTGTCGGCAATGTGAACATACAGTGGTGAGCAAAGTAGGATGGTTTTATTGTGACTAGGAATAGGCTGAAAACTGCCTCGATTCTCTAACCCCCTGAAAATCAACGAGCAACTTACCAGGATAGTAGGCCGTAAGAAGCAGAACTTCGAAAATTCCATCCTGTATCCGATTGATCCGCGAATCGATAGACCGAAGGATGTTCTTATGCGACAGTGAACTCTGTGTAGTTCGAGTAAAACCAAAACATCACCGTCAAGTCGATAATCTACTAAGCGTGATAAAATAACGATAAGACAACTTGACCTGTCATCAGGAATAGGCAATTCAATCACATTTCATGAGGATGAGCTCGGTTTCACTCAGTAAGAGTCTGTTACGGGCGACATAGCAGGAGTCACCCAAGCTTCGTGCGAATGTAGATCTATGCCTTTTCTTAACGAGGTGGCAGGAAGGCTCACTTGTCGGGATGGTGTGTGGGTAAAGAGTCACATGCAGAAATTTGCTTAGACCAACAGGTGAGAGTTGGATGTCAGAAGGCTGCAAAAACCAGATAGGCCACATTATGAGGGTACGACAGACGCAGAAGCTAGGATTACCTCATATGCCTCATATGCCTTGGATCGCTATTGTTGGTGCACCGTCAGACGTGAAATCCCTATGTTCTGGTCGATATTCTTTTTCGGTTGAACCACTGTCATGTATGAAAGTGTAACAAAATAGATGTAAGTATCATAAAGTGCTTAAGATGAATAGACAGTTTCTCAAGCGCTCGCCTCGCATGCCAGGTGTCCTGGGTTCAAACCACAGCACGGCCAAGAATATGCACTGCTGATGAGCTCTAATAAGAGCAGAATGCGAGCCCAGTGCTTCCCCATTTTGGTGTGGACTTACCAGAATAATCACGCCAAGACAGGAGGACGACTATGATGTGAATTTGAGCACTACAAATACCGCAATCACCCACAACAAAAACTCCAACATGAATTAGCTGTGACAATGTCTTCAGCAAGTTTCGGGTTTCCCCAAACTAAAAAGATACTGAAGCTCACGAGCTCAGCTCAACTCAGCTAGAGCTCAGTAGTTAAGGTGATTGGAAGGCCCATGGTTCGTACCCAATTACGGCAACTCGACTGCTCCTGTTTACGCTTGGATAGCCTGCAAGTGCCTCAGCCGTCGTGCTTCCTCAGGATGGCAGGACAGCTAGGGACCGAAATGGTTTAAAAGCTTAACGGATATTATTATTTTGTTGCAGCCAAGGCTACTGGTAGTTTCGACGGGTCCAGCAGCAGCAGCAACCAATTGCTCAGCTGTAAAGCGCTTTCGGTGCCTAGCCACCACAAGTATTCGGCAATTGAATAAACTTCCAACCCATAGAAGTAGCGACAAGCGGTTCTCAAAACCAACCCTATTGTTAAATCTGGACTTGTCTATTCTGATACACTACATAAAATCCTAAGTCAATTTGGATATCCGTATGTGATCTACTTGGCTGAAACCGATAATGGGGTTTACTTAGGAAACTTAATATTGTCATGTTTAGAATTTAGCTATCTGAGAGTAGCAAAGAAAGCACATAATTCTAATGTAAAAATTGGTGTACGCAGTAGCCAAACTGTTGAGTACTGCAAACTTGTGCTGCAGGTCGAATGTCGGTTCTTAGTTTGTTGTTCCACCCACCACGGTTGATTAGAAAGCATGGCAACTTGCGACAGCTTACAACACACACAAAGGAGAAAATCAGTCGTATTTATAACGCTACCGTGAAATTTATAACCAGGTCAAGCTAGAATCTTCATGGGGAGAGAAGTGCTGAGCTGAAAATTCTCGATACCGATTAGCTCATACTCTAACCAATGAGGCGGGTCTTCCTTTGGCCCAAAGCCGGTCTCCGATCGAAGTAATGTTCAGTTATTTAGAACGGTTTGGCTCCAGAAACCATCCAGGTGACAAGGCCAGTAGAGGAGAGTTAAGTAAGCTTATTTTAGAGGTTACCAACTGGGTCATAACTGACTGGGAAAACTTGTGGACTCTCAAAGCGAGTGGTGTCTCTTGGATGACATCCCTATTGGGAGGAATATTCGGTAAAGTGAACTTGTCAGAAGATCAAGTATTCATTCCTCGCCCTAAGTTTATCAGCTTTCCGTTTGATCACGGTGTTACAATGGGTCTTATCCACAAAAAGGAAGGGAAGGGACCAGATCTCGACAAATCAGCTAAGAACTAAGGAGAGAAAAGGTAGAGGAATGCAGCTGCCTGGGTTAGATTGGAAACAGGGTAATGTTGGGTGAGGTTCTATAAGGCGTTTGCATGTTGGAATTTGAGAGCAGATTGCCACAATGTAGACCAACATGAAGTAACGACTGAACTGTATGGACAGTTCAATATGGTGGTGCCGCGCATAGCTACCAAAAATTTCGGCTATGATACTGCATAGTTTCTAAAGCCCATACAAGATCACCTGGAGTTCGAACCACAGACCTGTCTGGGGGCTTGACGGTAGCTTCCCTGTCCTTAAAAGAAATAATTTTCCGAAACAGAACTTACCACAATGGTGATCTCTCGCTTGCAAATAGCCAAATTCTGAGCACTATTCACACAGGTTCGCTTTAGCGCATAGTACTGTCCCTGCTGCGAACGGACACGGAAAACCACGCCGAAACCACCTGTAACAGACAAAACAGCACGAACGTAGATTGAATTGAATGAGGGAACTGAAAAAACGGGCTATCTTTGAAAATGGTCACTCTGAAATCGTACGGGGCTAACAAAAAGTTATTTGCTCCCCTTCTGGTAAGCTGTGAATGTGCAAGAACGATACCTCTGATGAGTACATAAAGGAGGTAGGACACCGTTTTAGTCGGTTCAGGACTATATGACAGATTTTTAACAAGCGGCCAGGCGTACTAGTCTCCCAAGAGATGCTTCAGAATGTGTCGCTAAATGGTCATCATAAGCAAACATGGTGCTGTGAGCACTGTTGATCGAGTTGCTGGCATGCTGTGCTAGACGTGGGTCAACCAGCCGAAAGTGTTATAGGTGTTAAGATAAAGCAGACAGCTCTAACGGACTTAACAAGGTGATCCCCGGCACATCCTACAACCTAATCCCCATTTGTCTTACCATATTCAACAAGTTGGATGTCCATGGAACTGCAAGTGCTGGATGTGCAATCACGGTCATAGAGAAGAGGAGTAGAAACTGTCTGAATCAAGCAACTATGCATCGACTTAGCTGACAGTCGGTTCCCTGGTGTTGTCCTGTGTGAACCACTACATATGCACACTGATGTCTGGATATTGGATACGGACTGAATAAGTCATATTCCAACCAACAAAACACAGGCACGTGGTCAAGGTCCCTGAACAGGAAAACTGGTGTGCATAATGTCATTACTATGTAAACCATACTTTTCATAGGTCCTTAACTGGTCATTTTCACTCTATATTTTCGGCTCAAGTAATATCGTTACTGGACGATTAAAGCGTCCATTACGTCCTTCGATTCTGTCTTCCTTCCAATCTCGACCTGGAACCACTCGACTATCGCAACAAATAGAACAGGCGTGAGCTACGGTTGATAGGAAGTGTTAATGGAAACCGAAAGGTTTCGTATTTCTAGAATGTCTTAGAAATACAGAGTTTGTGGTGATCACGAAGTGGATGTTCGGTGGAGAATCACGTGATCCACATGAGGAATGCATGCAGCATTTCAAGCTGTGGTGTCTCAGTAGTGAACTATGGCGGCCAAGTTACCATCTACCAAGAAGCGTGTTATTATCCGTGCCTAAATCAGAATGGCGAAAACCCACAGGGCGGAAAAAGTATCAGGCATATCAGACGAAAGACGCCATGGAAAGTCAAGTCGATTTACAGAAGAAGTGCGCTTGCACTGCAGTCTTGGAAGGCCATATCGCAGTGATTACCAACCTCACCTCCAGAAACAACTGCTTAAACGTTTCTTGTGGAAGCCAGCTTTCTTGTTATGAACAATATAATATCCATGGACGATACATGGCGAAAAACGCCAGCTGGACTGATGTTTTAATTTCGGCGGCCAGGGTTTGTCCCTGTCAAGGGGAACAGGCCAAGTAGGTCGCCAAAAAATTAATAAGACGATACTTTTATCAGACACCAATAACAAACGGGAAACCCCGGAGAACAGTGTTAACAGTCAGGGCCTACCTTCAGCAATTATTTCATCGACCACAAGCGACAATTTTCCGATACGGAAATGCCGACCAAGAAAAGAAGTAAAGTGAGAGGATGTGGTGCTGCCAGCGATATTGTTGTGGGAGTTGTTTGGGTCATCAGAATCGCTCTGCGCTAGTCGGGCCAAGATTTTTTTCATCGTTCATTACACTGTGATATACATTCAACTGAAGGAGGGACGACTGACGTATAAGTACAAGGCCATTGATTAACTAAAATGCGAAAGAAAAAATCAAGAGTGAACCTGTCTGGGCGCGTTTGTTAACCATGAGAAACGAATTACCGCAATCCCACGTATTCTCCGGTCGTAGCTGCACATACCTCTGAGGGTGTTGGTCCCAAAATGGCAGTAAGTTTTACTTCCATCCCTTCACCTCCTTCACACAAACATTTAAACTTACCATTACATCTCACGCCAAGCACATCCCCACAAAAATACAATTCCCTTGCTGAATATTACCACAGAGAAATCCCGCAGTTTGTTCGGACAAGACACGAACAATCCACAGCGCTCATTGTCAGTTCCGTTCTATTTTTTGTGATTCCCCATTGGGTCGGATTTATGGGTGAGAAGTGTGTCGAGTCCCACTCTTCAAATGTAGTATTATGACTAAGAAGCAAGCTATGTAACGATCGTCCATCTTTTTCGACTCGCTGCAATCCGTCCTAATTAGAGCTTTCCTGATGACTAACAGTATGGTGGTGAGCGGTAGCTACAACCGTTTGTCATGAGTTCCGAGAGAACCTGCATGCACGTGCCCATTGGAAACGTAGACTGCCTGTCTGTTGACTGCAGACAAAATGGCGTTTTTCGAACGGTATGTGGAAGTTTTATTTCGAATACGCTTTCATACATCACACCAGCATCTTCCGAAGGTCATGAAAATGAGCTGATGAATATCTCAATGTTTAGATCATCGGCGAAAAAACACTATATTGCGCAGGCCCTCGCTGAGTCATACGGTGCTGCCATCCTGATTTCTTGAGCCAGCACTAGACGAGTGGGGCATAAACGTTCGTTAGAGTTATGTCGCGTAGGAACAATCAGGTTATCAGGTGTCTCGAGTGAATGAACGAGTTTTCGCTAGCACCTTCAAACAGGATTCACTGATTTATTATCCCTTATGCGAAACATTGACCCGTGCGTATCAAATGGGATTTCGACCAAACAGTGCCTGATTCGACCACATCTTCACAATCCGTCGAGTGTTAGAGCAAAGCCATATGTACAGAAAAACCGTCATCTTGGTATTTTTTGACTTAAATAAAGCGTTCGATTCAGTCGATCCGTCAGTGCTCTTCCTCTACCCACTATAGTATATCAAAAGGCACGGTAACTTGAGACAGTTCTTCAGGGATACAAAGGAAGACTATTACAATTGAATATATAGAATCATTGCAGAACATTCCGCAGGTCACCCTAGAATATTAATGAGGTTGTAAGAAGGTCCGAGCTACAGATGTTTGATCCAGATTAGCTGACATTCTGACCAATTAAGGCATGCCTTCTTATAGTCCGTAGCTCACAAGTCATACTTTCATCCAATCGACGTGACGTTCGGTTACTGAAGAAGCTGGCCTCGGGACAAGTTCTGACGCTGAGGGCATTTTTCATCGAGAGTTATCCGGGCTCCATTCCTCAAGCAGAAGCAGCGAAATAGTCGTCCTTTTAAGCAAAATGAATGCCTGATTCACTGCGCGCTGAGGGCGTGAAAAGACTCCGTGTTTGGTGTCCTCAAAGAATTGCCCGAGTCTGGTGGGAACACTAGATAAGTAACACTGATGTACGTTGAATGCTTTCCGGAAACTGAGCACATTTCATAGATTGCGCTGATTTGGTCACGTGCTTGTATGCCAGTCGACGGACCTCCTCCAAAAGTCCTTTTCGCACAACCATGCAAAAGGTGGGAAAGAGCCGAGGGGAGGTCAAGCAATGACTTGAGTGCGAAGTATAAAAGTCAATATCAACAAACTCTGTTGCGCGGTTCATTGTCGTGCTCCCCTAACCACTCACTGTGGAACACATTTTGGATACCGACCACGCAGTGGTCCAGTCGCATCTCTTTTCGTTTTTCAGAGTCGCATAAGGGGCGGATAAATCGCTTAGCAGTCAAGAGACTGGCAGATCTCGAAATGGACTCTCCTCCAACTGCTTCACCGTCAGATTTCAGTTCGTCCTGGAACGAGATTGCCCTATCTCTGTAGGGTGCCAGAGGCTTTGCCTGTCGCACAGCGCTACCCGGTTGGCTCAAGCACGGGACATTGAATAGAACAGTGGCACTGCTTGAATACCGTGGAAATGTTCTCGCTGGTCTCACTGGTCTCCCACTACACGACGAACTATCGGACACCAAACCGAACACTGCGTATCGAGCCACCGTGAGGCTTGGAGGGCACGGAAGATGAAGGAAATGGAAGGAAACCAGAAGGCCGGGAATGCCAGAAGATTCAATCAATTAAGTGAATTTATCAGCTATGAGCCACGCACCATGGATATATCGGTTCGAGCNACGACGAACTTCGGACACCAAACCGAACACTGCGAATCGAGCCACCGTGAGGCTTGGAGGGCACGGAAGATGAAGGAAATGGAAGGAAACCAGAAGGCCGGGAATGCCAGAAGATTCAATCAATTAAGTGAATTTATCAGCTATGAGCCACGCACCATGGATATATCGGTTCGAGCTGCTACAGTCTCAATCACCGGGAAGTGAGAGAGCGTGGGAGATACAGTCAACAGTTGAAGGCGATAGCAGGTAAAATTAGGTCGAGAACTGGACACTGAAGCCCGTGGCTTAGATTCATGAGCTCCACTGTGACATGGCTATCCTTTGTGTTCATACTGTCGTTTCGTATTAACCATGCTTTCGCCTTCACTTTAAGCTTCTGTACGTCTATTCTTAGACAAGTAAAACGCTATTCTTTCTACACTATTCACTCGTTCTCGTGCCCAATCAGAATCCAGATTCTATTCACAACAATTTACTTGTCTAAGAATACTTGTCCAAGAATACCGTTGCTGCGACCCAAGTGTTCCGACACAGATCCAAATTTTCCGGACGCCACAACGCGTTGGAATCATTGGTTCCGAACCTTCCGAACGTTTCTGGGCGCTGCCGAATCGCCTAAATAAACTCGAAACATTGATCCATTGTGTGAATGCGCTTGTATACGTTTACATCGCTAACTGTCCAGATTACGAATCCGCTATCAGTACACTTGAAAAGTTGCACGTTCGTCCTAAAAACAGTTTATGCTCCTCATCTTCTACAAATTTACAAACAAGACACCAGTCAAGATATTGATTAGTTTGTTCAGAGGCTTAAATCCTTGGCCAAAAATTGTGATTTCAAGGCAGTGTCCGCCATTGACCATCAAAACGAAAGTGTACGCGATGCTCTGATCAACGGACTTCAGCCTACTGCCATCAGAGAAAAACTTCTGGCTCCAAATGAACTCACTTTCGATGAAGCACATGAATTGGCTAGGTCATTAGAATCGGCTCACAAACGAGCTCAGTCATACTCACATAACCAGGCGATATCATTTTCTGCGGCTGCAGCATCTTTACAGACATCTACAGTTACCCCTTCACACGCAATCTCCCCTGATTCTACACATTATCTCTCATCGATCAATTCTCAGATGTGTTACTTTCGCGGCCGTTCCAGACATCCACGGCCAAAATGCCCCGCAAGAGAAGCAGTTTGTAAATCATGTGGCAAAACAGACCGTTTTCAGTGTGTTTGCCGATCCAAATCTGTAAAAAGTCACCCAAATTGCACGACGGATTCTGCCTTATCTTCCGTGTTGACTGCTGCGGCCTCGAACTGCTTGTCCCCCACAGTGACCAGCATAAAGGTGAACGGAATATCGCTTCAGGCTCTCATTGACACAGGAAGTTCGGGCATTTATATGTCTCCTTTGGCAGTTCGTGCACATGGTTGGAAGAAATATGCTGACGATTCTGTGATTACCATGGCATTCACCTATCTGACATGTTTAACTAGAGGCTACTGCTACGCATCCATCGATTACAGGGGTGTCACCCAATCAATGTGCTGATGTGCTCCTAGACCAAGACTTCCTTGGTTTACATAACAAAGTGAAAATCACATTCGGTGAAAACCGAGGTCCATTCACCCTCTACGGTCTACCTGCTGCTACAGTCGAATCACCTCTTCTTTTTACTAACCTCTCACCCGACTGTAAGTCTATTGCTACGAAATTACGACGTTATATTCCTGACGATGAACAATTCATCCACTCTGAAGTTAACCGACTATTGGTTGAAGGTATAAGTGAACCTTCGAATTCTCCCTGGAAGGCTCAAGTACTGGTTTAAACCACAAAAGCCGCATGGTAGTGAACTTAAGTCAAACCATTAATCGGTTCACATACCTAGACGCGTATCCGTTAACGCGACTGTTTGAAATGATTGAAGAAACTTCCCGTCATGCTGCATTTAGCATCTTAGACCTATTGAATGCTTACCATCAAGTTTCCATCAGTGAGAAAGACCAAACCGTATACGTCTTTTGGAAAATGCGGAGAATCGTTTCAGTTCCATCGTATTCCTTTCGGTGTAACCGACGGAGTAGCATGCTTCCAACGTACTATTGACCATACAATCAAGTCTGAGAACCTAAGTGACATCTACGCTTACATCGACAACGTCACTATTTGTGGGACTACCCAAAGTGAGCATGACCAGAACCTCAAATCTTTCTTCGAAGTAATAAGAAAATATGGAATTACCCTCAACTGCAAGAAAAGCATCATAGCAGCCAAACAAATGTGCCTTCTCGGCTATGAAGTACCTCAAGGAACTATTAAAGGAGATCCTGAACGAATCAGCCCTATTCTTCGACTCCCTCATCCACATGACGCTAAATCCCAACGAGTTGTTGGTATGTTTGCTTATTATTCGCAATGGATACCACGCTTCTCTGATAAAATCAGTGCACTTGTTAGAAATAAAACTTTTCCCTTGCCGGAGCGTGTGCAACAGTCCTTCGAAAATTTAAAGGAGTTAGAGAACGCTATGTTTGTGACAGTCGACTACAAGGCACCCTCGGTTGTCGAGACGGACGCCTTAGATATAGCCATTGCTGCATCCATAACTCAGAACGGTCGACCGGTGGCCTTCTTTTTCTAGAACAGTGACACCGACCGAAAAGAATCACTCTGTTATTGAGAAAGAAGCA